TCCTCCTCCTCCTCCCCCTCCTCCTCCTCCTCCTCTTCCTTTTCCTCCCCCCCCTCATCCTCGTCCTCGTCCTCATCCTCATCCTCATCATTATCCTTACTCCTTATCTTCATCCTCATTCGCATCCGCATCCTGTCGAATTCGTTAAGAACTGATGTCAGAGCCCCCAACCCAAGTGCAAGCACTGCTTGGGGAACATGGCCCGATACGCACATACACACACACACACACACACACACACACACACACACACACACACACACACACACACACACACACACTTTTTTCTCGTCGGCGGCGAGGCAGGGTGGGCTGCACCAGCGACAGAGCCAGGCGGGGGCACCGAAGAGCGAGTTGGCCAGGATGCAAGAGTGGGAAGAGGGCAGAGCGGGCGGCCGCGGGGGGGGGAGGAGAAAATTACGCCAGAGAAGAGCCCCAATCAGTGGATGGTTTTCGCTGAGGAGATCGACCGGGAACCCGGGAGCCCGGGAACCCAGAATCCACCGAAATCGGGAACCGGGAACCCAGAACCGGGAACCTGGGAACCCAGCCTGCTACCAAAATCGGCGGTAAATTTTCGCCAAATGTTTCAATTTCCGCTAGGACCCCTTCAGTGCAAGCACTGATTGTGGAAAAAGGCCACTCAGAGGCAGAAGAGTTCTCACCTGAGTGTGTTGGCGCGGCCAGCCCCGCCAGCGGGAACCATGGCAGCTGCTGGGCTGCGGCGCGGGGGCACCCACGGGGGGCTGACGGGGCCCAGTGCGGGTAAGGCAAGTGATTACACGCAGCAGTGACGTCGCCGAGGCACCCACGGGCGCTGACGGGGCCCAGCGTCGCCGATGCAGTACACGGGGGTGCCAGGTCGACGAGCATGGGTCGCAGGCCGCCCAAGTGGCTGGCACGCACGCACACAACCAAGCACACGCACACGCACACGCACACGCACACGCACACGCACACGCACACGCACGCACGCACACACGCACGCACGCACGCACGCACGCACGCACGCACGCACGCACGCACGCACGCACACACACACACACACACACACACACACACACACACACACACACACACACACACACACACACACACGCACGCACACACACACACACCAACGCTGCAATCGTAGTGGCGGATTCTACAGGCTTGCGCCATACTACCGACCCAGACGGGAGCTGTTTCGTGATGATGAATTTGGTCAATACGCTGGGACGGTCATCGTTCATCTTAGGGCCGTCTTGGGCCAGTCTTGGATCCCAGCGGTTCTCTTTTGTGGCCATCTTGGGTCCTTCCGGGCTCGGGACGCTCTCAAGTCTTGGGGCCTTTGGGAAGCATCTTGGAGCCGTCGCTGAGCGGTGTCGTCTTGGGGCGGTCTTGGAAGCCAGCTTCTTGTGGCTATCGTCTGACTATTGTGGGGGCTTTAATACCCTCTGGCAGCCTCCTGGGGGCCTCGCGGATGCTCTCGGATGCATCTCTAATTAATTGATCTTGGGACCATTGTGGCCTGAAGCACATGGAGTGTAGCCAGTTCAAATAATATGCGAATTCTTTACGCTTCGCGTATCCCCACCAGCCCATCTCACAGCAGCAACTCTTGCGAAGCATGCCGACAGTCGTGTTTTTCAGGCGTGTGTCCGCTAGGCCCCGCATATCTCCCCTGTTCCTCCTTCCTCCCGCCTCCTTGTACATCCTCCTTGTGGGGGGAGCGGGAGAAGGACGAGGCGGAGGAGGAGGGAGAGAAAACGCTCCTCGTGATTTGAGTCGTTTGGGGTTTCTCGTCCTGGTGTGAGTCGTTCGGGCCCTTCTTCCTGGTGTGAGTCGTTCGGGCTCTTCGTGGTGTGAGTCGTTCGGGCTCTTCGTCCTGGTGTGAGTCGTTCGGGCTTCTCGTGGTGTGAGTTGTTCGGGCCCCTCATCCTGGTGTGAGTCGTTCGGGCCCCTCCTCCTGGTGTGACTCGTTCGGGCTCCTCGTGGTGTGAGTCGTTCGGGGCCCGCGTCGTGGTGTGAGTCGTTCGGGCTCCTCGTGGTGTGAGTCGTTCGGGCGCCTCGTCCTGGTGTGAGTCGTTCGGGCCCCTCCTTGTGGTGTGAGTCGTTCGGGCTCTTCGTGGTGTGAGTCGTTCGGGCCCCTCGTCCTGGTGTGAGTCGTTCGGGCTCCTCGTGGGGCCTCTTGGGGGCCTCTCCTCTGGGGGCCTCTTGGGGGCCTCTTGGGGGCCTCTTGGGGCCTCTTGGGGCCTCTTGGGGGCCTCTTGGGGCCTCTTGGGGGCCTCTTGGGGGCCTCTTGGAGGCCTCTTGGGAGCCTCCTGGGGGCCTCTTGGGGCCATCTTGGGGCCTCTTGCGACCTCCTCAGAAACGCAAATCAGCGCTGCCTCCTGAGAAGGACAAAATGAGCCCAAAACCTTCGTAAAATCAATGATGTTGCTATGAAGGAAGAGGAGCGCGGCCCCCTCAGAAGGCCAAAATGGGGCCAAAACCCTAGTAACATCAATGTTTTTTGCTTCAACGAAGCGCAGAGGGGCCAAACTGTGCCCCCCCGTCGGGGCCAGAATCCTCGTGAGGGTCGTCGTTTTTTGGCCCTCCCAGGAGTCGGAAAAGACCCCTCCAACGACCCGCGGGACCCCCTCTCCAGGTCCAGGGGGAGGGGGTAGGGGGAGGGGTAAACCCCTCCCCGAAGGGGAAGAAGGGGGTTGGGGGATTGAGAACAGAGAAAGCTCGCTAAACCACTCACGCCCAAAGGGCTGGTGGGATTTCAAGTGTGTTTGACTCTAGGGCTCTCTGCGGCGTCGGTAGCAGGTATCTTGTATCTTGGGCCATTTGGGGCAGTATTCGAGACCATGTTGGGCGACCTTGGGCCACGCTTCAGGAACATTGACCAAACTGGAAGGCCGCCAGGGCCCGGTGACCAGTTCTAGGGGCTTCTTGGAGCTCGGGAGGGGGCGTCCAAGAGGGGGGTGAGGATCAGCGCGAAGGGGGTACTATGACTGGGGCCACGGAATCTCCTAGATGTCGTGTTTTAGCTGTGCCGCGCATGGGCTGGTTGGATTGGGGCTTGCACGCTTGTCTGCGGTCCATGCTCCGTAGCCTTCAGGGCTCAAGCGCATGGTCTGCCCCCCCGCATGGGGGGGGAGAAAAGTAACGAGTTTCCCCCCTGCGATGTTTGCACGACCCCCTTTTTCTTATTATTATTCTTCTTCCTCTTTTTCTTCTTCTTCTTTCATCACGCCCCCTTGCCCTCCCCTCCTCGTCCGCGCACGTGCCTCTTGCCAATCATGCGTTCACCTCCTTTCTTCCTGGCCCCCCTCTTCGGCGCGCCCGGGGGGGGGTGCGCTGGTGCGCTCGGGGGCAGAGCCCGCCTTGCCTCCCACATCGAATTTGAGGATTTGGACCCCCAGGGAGGGGGAGCAGGAGGAGGAGGAGGAGGACAAGGTGACGGAGGAGGAGGAGGAGGAGGAGAAGGAGGAGGAGGAGGAGGAGGAGAAGGAGAAGAAGGAGGAGGAGGAGGAGGAGGAGGGGGAGGGAGAGATCCATCCAGCCATCTTGCGCGCCTTTTCACCCACGGCAGCCTGGGGTCGGCGGAGTTGCTCCTGTGTCTTGGCTTCGACGTCCTGCCTGGCGAGGGACGCCCTGCCCTTTTGTGCTGACAGTCCGTCCACCGCCGCGGCCCCATCACAGTTCTGGAGATCGCACGCTGGGGCTCCGTCTGCCACGCTCCATGGAGAGGTTCTCGCCTCCGGCGCGCCCCGCCCTCTGCGGAAGGCCTGCGGAAGGCCAGCGGAAGGCCAGCGGAAGCCGGCGCAAGTAAGACGGCGGCGTGTTGGTTTGCGCTCAAAGCCCCTTGAACGCTCGCACTCTGAACTGCACACGAAGAACTTCACGCCCAGAGTGAGCCCTCCCCCCTTCCTGCCTCCGCGGCCGTTTCTCCTTCTCTCCCCGAGCCTCTCTGTGCACGATTCCCGCTTCTGCGACCTGGCTACCGTGCCGACCGCTGTTCGATCGTTCCCATCCCCCGCAGTTCCCAACAAGTTGCTCGCGCTCGGCCGGATTCGCTGCGTCGCCCTCGCCCGCTATCTCCCGCACGCAGTGCCACCGTCACAGCCCCCTGTGTGCACACGGCGCCTGGTGCTCATCCCAAGGTGCCCGTGGGAATGTGGACCGCTCACACGCGCGGTGGAGGTTCGCAGGCAATTTCTCGCCCCCAATCCCCGAGTTCCTGTTTCAACTTACAGTCGGCACGGATTAGTAGGTCGACCCTGCCAAATGAAGGGAACCTTTGTGTCCTGTGTCTCGCTCCCCATGTCTCCTTTCCTTGCTATGGCAATGTGGCCCTCAGAACCTCGGAAGGGTCTTGTGTCCTCTCGCGTGTTTTGTCCAATCAAGTCCGACTGCATTCAAATATTGGCCGCTCAGAAAAGAAGGGGAACTCGGGGATGCACCCCGTGGGGGTCATTCGGGCGCACCCACATCGAGGATGGGAGCTCCCCCCCTTGAGTTTGGCCCCACACGCTTCGTCCAGTCGAAAAGTCTAACAAAGTCGGCGATTGGGGTCGCCATGTCCCCGGTGATAGCAGGACGCGCCCTTTCCAGCGCGCACCGGTGCGGTGAGCATTGGAAGTGCACGCCGAGAAGGTAAAAGCTAGAGGGTGTCGGATTTCGTCTGAAATGGCCTTGGCGCGCCTGGTTTGGGTGGGCCCCGTTGAGTCCACAATGATGCCTGCACTACAGAATGTGTCCCCATACGGCTCTGCTCTACTGTGCTAGGCATGGCCATGCACCATGCATCGCTTCGCAAAAGGGCCCCATGCGCGTCAATGTCAAACCATGGTGTCACAAGGCTGCGTATCAAGCCAGATTGGCGCAACGGCTACTAGTACGTAAGATCAGGGCCAGTGCCACATGCCCAATGCGATTACAGCACCGTTCACCGCGCCTTACCACTTGCGATCATCCTTAGCGAGAATCCTTCGGTTTGCCAGCGCCCTTTATTTCAGTATCGGCCCGAGGTCGAGGCAGCGTGGGAGGAGGAGGCGAACCGCGAGCGCAAGAAGAAAGAGGTGACGGTGTTCGACGAGGCCTTTCAGAGCCATCTCTCTCGTCCTGCTGCCGCTGCCGCCATTCCACTTGCCCCGCCAGGAGCCAACAGCATCGTCGCTTATTCAGATGCTCTCCCGCTCCCAGGCAGGGTCCATGTCAGTCCGATCAACCCGATCCGATATTGATATCCGTTGGCCCGATCCGATTCGAGTCTCGTATCCCGGCGAGGCGGCCTGATGCTTGCATGGCGCTGGTGTGCATCCTGACGCGGCCGCTTCGATTGGGCCTCGACTCTGTGCCGATGCGGACCGACTCGATGCCTCCTCCTCCTCCTCCTCCTCCTCCTCCTCCTCCTCCTCCTCCTCCTCCTCCTGGTTCGGTGCTGGCCGAGCCTGCCGTGGCCGTCGCCCCGCGGGGGACGGCCAGCCCGGCCGCCCACGCCCAGCCGGATGCAGACAGGCTCCCCGCCGCCACGCGCCGAGCGTCTTGGCGACGGAATCCGAACCTTGCCCTCGCCAACCAACGACTCAGAGGAGGAAAAGGTACCCATGCCTCTGCCCTTCCCTGGTTTCCCCTTCTTTTGGGGCCTTTTAGGCGGCCCTCGTCGCCACCGCTGGATTCGCCTCGAAATCCTGGTCAGAACGCACTCCAGGAGAGGTCTGGGGAGTAGCGGTATCTGTACCTTTGAGTTTCCCCAGGCTCAGGCAACTCGATGGGCGGCGGGGGCAGGGTCCGGAACTCGTCGAGCACGTGGCGGAATCCGAAGCTTGCTCCTCCTCCTCCTCCTCCTCGTCGACTCGGGGGGATCGATGGTGGGTGGGGGGGTGGGGGTCGGACGTCGCCGCGCCGAGCGTCTCGTGGAGGTGCTCGTCGGTCGCCGGTCGGCGCCGGCGTCCCATCGGAGGATGGAAATGCGCCGGTGGCACCGGTCTCCCTCGACTGGACGTGAGAGTGGCCTTTCGCCGGAGTGATCTTGTGGTGCGGGCACAGATGGGCCCATCGGATGGCTGGAAACGAAGCGGTGGCAGCGGCTTGCGCGCCCAGGTTTGGTCTCCCCGCGGCCCCTAAAAAGCCGCGCACCAAGGGGCACTCTTACCCAGGGTCACTCTTGCGTGTAGCCGACTCCCACTTTCAGAGGCGACGATAGGGGCGAATGGCCCAGGGGAGAGCAATACATGTGTATTCAGGTGCGCCGATGATCTATGTCTTCGAGGAGGCTTCCAGGCGAATGCGTGTCATGTCCGCCCCTGGGCTGTTCGCCCTAGTCGTCGCCGCCGACGCATGGGGCCAGAGTGCGGCGGTTTTATGTCGGGCATGTCTCTCTACAGGAGGAAAGATCAAACATAGTCAAAACATAGTTGTTCGACTAGTTTTGATTATTTCCCAACCAACCTGTGTTGTTGGGTCCTCGTTTTGAAGAGACGGTGCCCGCGTCTTCTCCTCCTCCTCTTCCCCCTCCTCCCTCCTCCCCCTCCTTGCCTCTGCTCTCGGCACACCTCTCACGCGTTTCGTAGCCCCATAGGGAGCTCCACCGAAGGCCCCAGTGGGGGTGTCCACATGCGGTTCCCCCACCCAGGGCAGCGTTTCGTGGCCCCATAGGGAGCTCCACCGAAGGCCCCAGTGGGGGTGTCCACATGCGGTTCCCCCACCCAGGGCAGCGTTTCGTGGCCCCATAGGGAGCTCCACCGAAGGCCCCAGTGGGGGTGTCCACATGCGGTTCCCCCACCCAGGGCAGCGTTTCGTGGCCCCATAGGGAGCTCCACCGAAGGCCCCAGTGGGGGTGTCCACATGCGGTTCCCCCACCAGGGCAGCGTTTGTGGCCCCATGGGGAGCTCCACCGAAGGCCCCAGTGGGGGTGTCCACATGCGGTTCCCCCACCCAGGGCAGCGTTTCGTGGCCCCATAGGGAGCTCCACCGAAGGCCCCAGTGGGGGTGTCCACATGCGGTTCCCCCACCCAGGGCAGCGTTTCGTAGCCCCATAGGGAGCTCCACCGAAGGCCCCAGTGGGGGTGTCCACATGCGGTTCCCCCACCCAGGGCAGCGTTTCGTAGCCCCATAGGGATCCACCGAAGGCCCCAGTGGGGGTGTCCACATGCGGTTCCCCCCCAGGGCAGCGTTTCGTAGCCCCATAGGGAGCTCCACCGAAGGCCCCAGTGGGGGTGTCCACATGCGGTTCCCCCACCCAGGGCAGCGTTTCGTGGCCCCATAGGGAGCCCACCGAAGGCTCCCAGTGGGGGTGTCCACATGCGGTTCCCCCATAGGGAGCTCCAGGCCCCCATGCGGTTCCAGGGCAGCGTTTCGTGGCCCCATAGGGAGCTCCACCGAAGGCCCCAGTGGGGGTGTCCACATGCGGTTCCCCCACCCAGGGCAGCGTTTCGTGGCCCCATAGGGAGCTCCACCGAAGGCCCCAGTGGGGGTGTCCACATGCGGTTCCCCCACCCAGGGCAGCGTTTCGTGGCCCCATATAGGGAGCTCCACCGAAGGCCCCAGTGGGGGTGTTTGCATGCGTCTCCCCTACCCAGGGCAGCGTTTCGTGGCCCCATATAGGGAGCTCCACCGAAGGCCCCAGTGGGGGTGTTCGCATGCGGTTCCCCCACCCAGGGCAGCGTTTCGTGGCCCCATAGGGAGCTCCACCGAAGGCCCCAGTGGGGGTGTTCGCATGCGGTTCCCCCACCCAGGGCAGCGTTTCGTGCCCCATAGGGAGCTCCACCGAAGGCCCCAGTGGGGGTGTCCACATGCGGTTCCCCCACCCAGGGCAGCGTTTCGTGGCCCCATAGGGAGCTCCACCGAAGGCCCCAGTGGGGGTGTCGCATGCGGTTCCCCCACCCAGGGCAGCGTTTCGTAGCCCCATAGGGAGCTCCACCGAAGGCCCCAGTGGGGGTGTTCGCATGCGGTTCCCCCACCCAGGGCAGCGTTTCGTGGCCCCATAGGGAGCTCCACCGAAGGCCCCAGTGGGGGTGTTCGCATGCGGTTCCCCCACCCAGGGCAGCGTTTCGTGGCCCCATAGGGAGCTCCACCGAAGGCCCCAGTGGGGGTGTTCGCATGCGGTTCCCCCACCCAGGGCAGCGTTTCGTAGCCCCATAGGGAGCTCCACCGAAGGCCCCAGTGGGGGTGTTCGCATGCGGTTCCCCCACCCAGGGCAGCGTTTCGTGGCCCCATAGGGAGCTCCACCGAAGGCCCCAGTGGGGGTGTTGCGCATGCCCAGGGCAGCGTTCGTGCCCCATAGGGAGCTCCACCGAAGGCCCCAGTGGGGGTGTTCGCATGCGGTTCCCCCACCCAGGGCAGCGTTTCGTAGCCCCATAGGGAGCTCCACCGAAGGCCCCAGTGGGGGTGTTCGCATGCGGTTCCCCCACCCAGGGCAGCGTTTCGTGGCCCCATAGGGAGCTCCACCGAAGGCCCCAGTGGGGGTGTTCGCATGCGGTTCCCTTACCCAGGGCAGCGTTCGTGGCCCCATGGGGAGCTCCACCGAAAGCCCCCGTGGCGCAGTTCGCATGCGCTTCCCCCACCCAGGGCAGCGTTTCGTGGCACCATAGGGAGCTCCACCGAAGGCCCCAGTGGGGGTGTTCGCATGCGGTTCCCCCACCCAGGGCAGCGTTTCGTAGCCCCATAGGGAGCTCCACCGAAGGCCCCAGTGGGGGTGTTCGCATGCGGTTCCCCCACCCAGGGCAGCGCTTCGTGGCCCCATAGGGAGCTCCACCGAAGGCCCCAGTGGCTGCTCTCGCATGCGGTTCCCCCACCCAGGGCAGCGTTTCGTGGCCCCATAGGGAGCTCCACCGGAGGCCCCAGTGGCTGCTCTCGCATGCGGTTCCCCCACCCAGGGCAGCGCTTCGTGGCCCCATGGGGAGCTCCACCGAAAGCCCCCGTGGCGCAGTTCGCATGCGCTTCCCCCACCCAGGGCAGCGTTTCGTGGCACCATAGGGAGCTCCACCGAAGGCCCCAGTGGCGCAGTTCGCATGCGGTTCCCCCACCCAGGGCAGCGTTTCGTAGCCCCATAGGGAGCTCCACCGAAGGCCCGCCCCGGTGGCGCAGTCCGCATGCGGTTCCCCCTATCCAAGGCAGCGCTTCGTGGCCCCATATGGAGCCCCACCGAAAGCGGCACCCACAACGCGTTACCAACAATTGCTTATGGTTGGGTCTTTCGCCAGGATAATTTTTGAATATGTTTGAATATCCGTAAGGGCTTCGCCTCCTGCCGCCGAGGGAGATAATGGCTTATGCAAGAGCTGAATCATGAGGCCTCGGCGCCGCCGTGAAGCAGCATCAGCAAGAGAAATTGAGATTCTGATGATATTGTTGAACTCAGTGTTGCATTTTGAACCTGCCCCGCATACTGTGCACTGAGGTTTCCCACAGAATTTTGGACATGTGGCAAATCCCATTGTTTTTTCGACCCTTACCCTGCTGATCTGCGTGCGGGGTGCCGCCAAATCCTAGAAATGTGGCAAAACCCATTGGTTATTGGACCCTGACTCCGCCGATCTGCGTGAGAGGTACCGCAGAATTTTAAAAGTGTGGCAAATACCATTGGTTTTTTTACCCTGACTCCGCCGATCTGCGTGAGGCGGTGCCGCCGAATTTCAGAAATGTTGCAAATCCCATAGGTTTTTCGACCCTGACCCCGCCGATCTACGTGAGGCGGTGCCACCGAATTTCAGAAGTGTGGCAAATCCCATCGGTTTTTCGACCCTGACCCCGCCGATCTGCGTGAGAGGTGCCACGGAATTTCAGAAATGTTGCAATTTACATTAGTGTTTCGACCCTAACTCCGCCGATCTGCGTGAGGGGTGCAACTGACTTTCAGAAGTGTGGCAACTGCGATGGGTTTTTGGATCCTGACCCCGCCGATCTGCGTGATGGGTGTAAATTTCGACCCTTCAGAAATTCTGAGAACCGTCCCAGGAGATGCTAGGTTTGCTGGTTTGCGGCTCCCCCCTCGCGCGGTCTACATGAAGGAACAGTAAGCAGCATAAAGCAATATTGTAACAGTGGAAACTGGGAACTGGAACTGGCGCAGGGAACAGCAAACCCTCAGCCTACAGCCTGGGGGCCCCACAAGGAGGCCGGCGGATTTCTTTCGGGCTATGTTCATTGTTTCTTCCAAAACCCGCCTGTAGGATGACATGCCCAACCTAAGGCAAGTTCGCCACGTCTCGACCGGGTGGCGACCCCAGCGCGGGCGTGACACGCTGCATGCCGCCAGGTGGCCCAGAAGCGGCCGGCACGGAACGACCCACGCCATCGGAAAGCAGCGGTCGTTCAAGGCTCAGATATCGACGGGGTGCCAGAAATAAGCGTCAGTCCTGTAGCCACCCCTCGCCAGACGCGGTGCCCAGAATGTCTTTCTTGAACATTTGCCCCACACATTTTACAGGTCCGCCCCCGCGCGGTGCAGACTTCACCCCTGCGGCAGGGCGCCAGAATTTGCCGGATGGTTCTGTCAATGGCCGCCGCGAGGCCAGAAAAAACAATGTCAGACATCAGCGTGCATGTCGTCACGACACGAACCTGCCGCAGATGGGGTCGGAGGATCGCGCCGCGTCACCGATGATGCAGCGGCGAGGCGGCGCGACGTTGAGCCAGATTTTCTCCACGCCGGCGCCGCCGGTGATTCGCCGACGTCGGTGATGCATCGCCGCCGCGTCGCAGATGTATTTGTGATGCGGCGCGACCCTCCGACCCCTTCTAGTTACTCGTCTCCGATTGGGAGGCATCCATCGCGGGACGTTGGAAACCCTCGGACTGGCTTCGAAGAACCATCCAGACGCTCCCTCGGAAAGAAGGCTGGCAGAAGGTGAAGGAGGCAGCATCACATGGGGAAGAGGCCGAGGATGAGGCATCCAGACGCACCGCCAGAGAGAGGCTGGAAGCGGACAGCCGGCGACTGGTGGCGCGGCGAGCCTGCAGCCACAGGACGCCGTGGAGGTGAAGGAGTTGAAGCAGACTTCGAGCAGAAGAATAAAAATAACAATAATAATAATGCGAAGAAGACAGCTTGCATACATGTAGATTTCCGTAGGGCCGCGCGGATTTGATTGGCCCCTCCTCCTCGTTAGTATCACCATGTGTTTCTCGTCATTGTTCCCACTCCTCCCCCACCACCGCCACTCCCTTCCCCCCCGTTTTCTCCACTCCTCCGCGCCCCAGTCTCCCCGACGCCAGGCTGGGATGGAGATCCGGAGCGGGGGGAAGGGTAGCCACTCCTCGAAGTACGTGGACCCGCGCCCTGCGCGTCGCCGCCTCTCGCTGCCGGCTTCGGTGTGCTGTCGACGCTGCCGCTGTCGCTGTCGACGCCTGCCTCGCCGCCGCCGAGGGCCTCGCCGCCGCCGCCGCCGTCATCGCCGGCCAGGCCGCCGTCGCCACTCTGCCTCGCCGCCGGCGTCGTTGTCGGGGCCTCGGCGCCCTGCCTCGCCGTCGCCAGCCTCGCCCTCGCCGGCGGTGCCGTCGTCGTCGTTGCCGCCGCCGGCCGCCGCGGCGGGCGGCCCCACGCCGGCGGCGGGGGCCTCGCCCCCCCAGTGAAGGGCGCGGGCTCCCGTGGTGGCCGCCGTGGTCTTTGGAGGCTCCGTCGTGCAGGGCATTCCCGAGAGGGCCTCGCCCTCTGCGCAGCCGCGGCCTCGGCGGGAGGCCGTCGAGGCTCCTCCTCCTCCTCCTCCTCCTCCTCCTCCTCCTCCTCCTCCCTCCAGAGCTGGGACGGTCGGCGGCTGCAAAGGGAGTGGTTCCGCTGGGGTGTGGCTTGCGGTCTGCGTCTTGGGGGCTGGCGTGGCACCGCGCTGCCCTCGTCGGGCCTCCTCCTGGGGGCGGCGGAGAGCCCCGTCGGGGTCCTCGCCCGCCCCGCAGCGGGTGCCGGTTGCAGACCTGTGCCCTTTGCAACCGCACCCTTCGGAGGCGCCGGGGCGGGGATCCCCTCCTGGAGTGCTCGGGAGGGGAAAAAACGCACAGACACAATGCATCGTCGATTCCCCAGAAAATATGGGAAAATTTGGGAAGTGGGGGGGAAGACAAAAACCCAGAAAATATAAGACAGTATGGGGGATCTTGTTATTTGTGTGTTTATTCATTTGCGTGTCCCAGGGCCCCTTCAAGTGCTGGTCTGACAGAGGTGATGGCAGATTGGGGGGGGGGTCGCTCGGGGTTGGGTCAGGCGCTTTTATCAGGTCCTGGTTTCCTGAAACGGGCTCGTGTCAGGCTGATGGCGAGACCATCGTGCCGAGCTCTTCGATGGCATTCTGCGTGCCCACCACCAAACTTCCAGTTCAGGGGGAGGGGAGGCGGTGCAGCGAAAGAACTGAAATGCCGGCGGGAGTGAAGCGGCGGCGGGTTCGCAGGCGGAAGGTCGGTGGAAGAGGGCGGAAGTACAAGGGAGACGTCATCATTTTCGGGTTCAGGGTTTCTGGAATCGGCCAGGTGTTTGCAGGGGTTCTCGTAAGACTGCCCAATGACATCGGCAACGCATTGTTGGATTGAACTCGGCGGTGCGCACAAGGGCGTGGCGCGAAGGGGGCGGCCTTCTAAGAAGGCGTACGGCTTCTCAAAGGGCATGGGAAGCCTTCTCAGAAGGGCCCGGAAATCTGCAGGCTACCGCTCTGCCCGACCGTGGAGTTGTTTCACATGCAAGGTAAGGGAACGTTTGAACCGAAGTTGCACCGAGAAGGCACGCCCTATTCATCCGAACATCAAGCTCTCGTTACAGTTGTGGCCCTCATATCAATATCATAAGATTGCCCAGGTGCGTGCGTCTCACAGTCATCTCATGTGCTCCTGGAAGCACCGGGGATAGTTGCATCCTTTCCAGGTTTAAGCCTGCTGTCCCTCCAGCTGCTGGCATTCTTCAACAGACTCCGATGCGGCCGAGGTGGGTGTCTCATGGAACAGCCGCTTGAAGAAGTGGCTGGCTTTCTCGAAGGACTCGAAAGGTGGTAGAGGGCCTAGCGGCTTTGGACGCGAGCTTTCTGGAGCAGGATCAGTTGGAGGAACAGCCGCCGCACCCTCAGCAGGCGTAGGAGCAGGTGTGCAGAAGGGATTGTGGAAGCCCAGGTCAGTGCGGAGCGCAGGGCGGAAGTGATCGTGCCGGCAGAGACTTTGAGCTGTTGTTGCACATGTGGTCGTGTGGCTCACGGCGAAGTCCCCCAACGCTGCATGGGAGATTGTTCGGAGGCCTCCGACCATTCCTGACGAACGAGTAACACACACCCATACCCATAGGGGGAATGTTGGGAGGAGGACTGGCTATGGGTATGGGTGCGGGTTGTCGGATCTTGGGGGGTGCTTCCTTTCGAGCGGGGACCCCCATCCGACAACACGCACCCATAGCCCCCTCCGTCCCACCTATGGGTATGGGTGCGTGTTGTTCGTTCGTCAATTCCTGGACGCCGCAAGTGCATCGCGCGGAACAGTTTTTTATCGCTGAGGGACAAGCTTAGACAACGGCGGCTCCCCGCCCAGCTTTAATTGGGGCATCACCCTCTACGGGAGGAATCACCACCCACCAAACCACCCCAACCCAACCCGAAGGCCTCAATTTGCCCTCCATTTCCAGTTGGGGGGGGTCGGGGAACATTGAAAAAACACATATGGAACCCGTACCCCCCCCAACACGAAATTGGGGTGTTCGGGTTGGGTTGGGGTGGTCTGGTAGGTAGTCAAGGAAGCTTCAAACATAGTCAAAAATAGTCTGGGGACGATGTTTGGAACATGTTTTGAGTATGTGTCTTCAAAATGTTCTCACTATGTCGAATACGTCCTCCAACATCCGCCTGCAGGAGGACATGCCCGACCTGAGCGCAGCTCGAGTCCGCTCGGAATCGGCACCCAGACGCCTCCAGGGGTCCATCCTCGCCTTTTCATTGATCGAGACGGATCCAGCCCACAGGCGACGAGACGCCTCCAGGAGGCCAAGACAGGACGAAAGGCGCCGCCGTATTCGGAGTCGGAGGAGGAGGAGGAGGAGGAGGAGGAGGAAGAGGACGAGGAGGAGGAGGAGGAGGAGGAGGAGGAGGAGGAGGAGGAGGAGGAGGAGGAGGAGGAGGAGGAGGAGAGAGGTCTGACAACCAAGGCGCTGAAACAAGGACCGCTTCGGGCTCAGGAAGGGGCCTGCCGCTCCTCGGGTTATTCCACGGCTGTTCCACCAGTCCTCCTCGTGCACTGGAGGTTGATAGACCAACCTTGACACGTCGATTAGGGAATCGGCCGTTTTCGGTTCGCGAGAGGGCGTCGCGGCCGTCATTTTTGCGGTTCCAGGTCCGTCGGTTTCGGTCTTAGGCCGTTTTTTCTAAAGGGTGGTTTACTAACGGTAGGCTTGTCCACCGCCGAGTGCACCCAGGTGTTTCTAATGCCAAATTTCCCTGACGGCCCCAGCGCCAAGAAATATCTTGCACAGGCCAAGTATACATACACATTATTGTTAATGCGTTGTTGTTACAGGCACGTGGAAACATATGTACAGACATGAGTGCGTACTCACACATATACAAGCATGTGTGCATATGTGCGCGTGCAATTACCACATGTGTGCGCATGTATGTGAACGTGTGGCTGTAGTGGCACAGCGAGTTCGACTATGCAGCGGAAGTAATGATGCGTCTGAACCCAGTTCCCGACAGGAGAGGCTGGGCCCCGAGCGCCCCAGGCGAACCCAACACGGCCCTAGATGGCCTCACGGCGGGCCCAGAGGGCCCACGAAGGCCCCAAGAGACCCCGACGAGACTCCTTTCGGCAGCGCGGATCCATTGTTTCTCGCGAGGATCGCGGCATCACGAGGGAGGGGGAGGGCGGGCGAGGCAGCGATGCACGCGGGACCCTGCTGGTAGAGGCGGGGGGGGGGGAGGGGGGGGGGACCCTCTCAGAAGATTAAAACAAAAACCTTGCCAGATGTCAGTTGGCATTCTGCCCCGCCTCCGACGCGAGGGGGTCTGGGAAGGGCCGCGGGCGACCCGAGCCAGCACGGGGCGCGCCGCGCGCCGCCCCCCCCCCCCGCCACGCGGGGCGCGCCGCGGGGCGGATGGTGGCCGACGCGAAGGGCGCCCTGCTCCAGCGGATCGCCTCGGCGGGCGAGCAGGCCGCGGGAGGCCGTGCCTTCCAGACGGGGCCCGAGCGGGCGGGGCCGGAGAATCGCGCCGCATCGCCGATGCAAGGGGCGATGCGGATCGATGTTGAGCCCAACGTTCTCCACGCCAACGGCGGCGATGCACGGCCGACGTTGCCGATGCATCGCCGGGGCATCAGCTATGCGGCGCGATCCTCCGACCCCAACCCCTCGGAGCCCATGTGGGAGGCCTGGAGGGCACTCATGAAGGTAGGGTAACAATGAAGAAATGCCTGGGGGGGGCGTCGTCACGCAGCAGCGCCCTGGGCGATGACTGGTACATTTGGTTGTTGGGACCTCTTGGGCGTCTCCGTCGTCAATAATAGTTTTCGATCGTCCTCTCGCAATATTTCCCAGCGGCAGGAAACATAGTTCTCCCCAGACGTTTTCCTCATCGCAATCCTACACCTTAGGATTAAGTCGGGCACGGCCCTCTACAGGAGCAACATTCAAAAATATACCAAAAATGGTCTGGGGACGATTTGTCTATTATTTTCGACTATTGCTGAGTATGTTTTGACTATCGTTGTTTCGTCCCGAATCCGCCTGTAGGGGGACATGCCCGACCCAACCTTAGAATAGTGAGTGCGGCAAGTTCTGGCCGCGTTGGCGCGGCGGCGACCCCAGCGCTGGCCCCTCGAGGCAGAACGCCGCCACCGGCTTGGAATCAGCCGACGTCGAACGACCTGCGCTGGCCCAAAATTCACAACACAACAGTTGACGATCTCAAACCTGTGGGGAGCTTTCGCCGGCCTCGCCGGCTCGCCGCCGGGCTGTATGTGATAGCTTGCTGTGCAGGGCCGAGCCACGAAGGGCCCGAGACCAGCGCCCGCGTCACCTCGGCGTGAGCAGGCCCCCCTGGCCTCGGCCGGGAGGGAATGCGCACCACGCCGGGGGCCCGGGACGGGCTCGGCCTGGCAAGGCGGTGGGGAGGATCGAGGATCGGGGGCGGAAAAGAGGAGGGTGGTGGCCAGGGGGGGGGGGGGGATTTCTCGGCGGGGCCCATGAGATCTCCCCAGATGTCATGGCGCGTCTTCTGATTTGGCCATACGTCCCTGGCCCCCCCCCCCCCTGGGGCCGCGCACATGCCGCCGGCCATGATTTGCGCCCCCTCCTCTTGGACGCCCCCCTCTTCGACGCCCCCGAGAGGATTGGGGAATCAAACAATGACATAAACATAAAAACTCGGAGGTCCGCGCAGATTTCTCGGATCGGCGCTGGAGCCCCCTGGCAGCGCCTCCAGCGCCGCACCTGGCGCGCTGCGCGCGCTAGGGACGGGGGTCCAGCGCCGATCCCAGAAGTCCGCGCGGACCTCCGAGTTTTTATGTTTATGTCTTTGTTTGATCCCCTACCTCAGGAGGAGGGAGGAGCAAGGATGGGGGAGGTTTTGGACGTTTTCGGGGGTCTTCTGGATTCCTGCGGGGTTTCTGGGGGGTCCCGGAGCAACCGTTTCCACGAGGTGGTAGCGACCCCCTTTGGTGGTGACCCCCCTTGGCATTGCCCGGACAAAGATCACCCCGACCCCAGTACTGGCATTCACCAGACTGTCCTTGCGCGTTTACTGAGCAGCCTCCTCCTGCTCGACGCCCTGGTGAGGGGGAGCTCGTTGAGGGAGCCTCGCCTGCATGGGGTGATCACCCGTGCGGGCGGTTCTTCATCGCATCTACGGTCTGGAGCGTTGGCTCGGCGTGTCGCTCCGTTGGTTTTGGCCCACCGCTCCACGGCACGACACGCTCTGCACCTCCTGCCTCCCAGCGTCAACGGCCCGAGCCTTTCCCCCCCGCCCCCGCCCCGTGGAGCGGAGCGACACGCGGTCCACTGGCAATGCAAAGCGTGTCGCCGGGGCCGCCGCCGCGACGCAGTCAGGGAGAGTTCCCGACCGTAGAACCAAGTGTCCCGAGGCGAGGCTGCGTCCAGAGGCCTGGCAAGGCCCATGGCTGCCCACGGGCGGCCCTCGAAGACGCAGCGACGGCCCGAAGGTAAGGGCGCAGTGCTTCTGCCAGCCGGAGAAGAGCGGCAGCACGAGCATGCAGGGAAGCCAGATGCGCATGACGCGGCTGGCCGGCTGGCCTGGGCGAGAGCCGCATGCACGCGTGGCCGACCGTCTTTCCAACGCTCTCCCTTCTGTGGCCGCATGGTTTGGGCTCTCGCGCGCGTGGCCACCGCGTGGCCTCCGGAAGTTCTACGTGTGAGTCCAGCCATGTGCGTTTCCATTTTCTTGCTAAGCTGTCAGAGTTCCGCGCGTACTCGTGGGATCGGCGCTGGGCCCCACTCCTTGGCGCGCCAGGGGGCCCGCCAGGGGGTCCAGCGCCGATCCAAGCAATGCGCGTGGACCTCTGAGAGCTTCTGTCCATGCCGGTGCGTTTTCCGACCAAGGTTTCTCCCGCGTCCTTGCCTGTGCGGCCCATCCTCAGCAGTAGAGCCAGGAGTTGTTGAGCCGGTGCCGCCGCAATCGTTTCCAGGTGGATGCCCCGGTGTCTCGCCTACAGCTGGCTCGAGGGTTAACAACCCGCGTGCTCCTCTTGTGGGCCTCTCCGCCTCGGAATGTTCTTGTCTTCCACGGGGACATGGGCCTTCGGCGAAGGGGCTCATGTTCTTAATCCACCTCCTCCTCCTCCTCCCTTTTCCTCCTCCTCCTCCTCCTCCTCCTGCTCCTCCTCCTGCTCCTCCTGCTCCTCCCCCTCCCCCTCCTTCCTGTGGCCATGCTCCACTTGCGCTGGTCCACACTCCTTACTGTGGGGCTTGCCCGCTGTCCAGGCTCCTCCACAGGCCCAACTGTCGTCTGCTCCGGCGGGGCCCTCTGGGCCGCTCCGCGCCCTGGGTTCGGGGTGCTGAGGCTGCACTGGGCTGATCGCCCTGAGGGCCTTTGTTTTCCCATCGGGGAAACGGATCCTGAGGGAAACGGGTCCCAGACCCTACGGTTTCCTCAGGAGCAGCTCTTGATTCCTAGTAGTTGTCTGACGCTCCCGGGGCCGAAACGG